TTCAGTGTACGCCATGGGCGGTCACGATAGCCATAGTTATCACAGAACGGCTGAAAGATACGACTGCGAGACGAACCAGTGGTCATTGATCGCTCCCATGAACACTGAGCGAAACTATGAAAGTGCGGCTGTTTTGAATGGTAAGTAAATGCTGTGAAACAGAAATGTATGAATTAGTGCAGAAGGCGAGGCGTCTGTCTGTCTGTCCGCGTGTAACAACGTAAGAACTGTTGAAGTAATCGCAGGATTTGAGGTTCTGACGGTAGCGAGTAAGAAGATGGCTGACGTTTGGCTTCTCCCGACGTTTCAGACGAACTTTTTGCCTTCGTCATCAAGTCATTCCTCTTCGCTCTTGAACTTAGTTTCCCTCACTCCATTGTCCCATATTGTTTTATTATCACTTACTTTTATACGTAATTTCAAAGATTGCGATTGCTTGAAGTTCTGAGCGTGTGATGGTTTCCTCTGCTCTTTTAAGCTGTCCCTGTGCATCATCTTCTACAGTTTTAGTGTACACTAGGAGCGAATGCAAACAACCATCAAACTATCAAACTGGCTCTCATATAATACAGATGTATAATGTTTTTGACACAGTTAATAATCTCATGTAAATAGCACATTATATTATAAATGTTAAGCACCGCTTGGCAGCTCGTACCGTACATCTCTGGTACTAAATTTCATAAAATTCGTTTCACAGAAGATGTAGCTTACCATCGTTTCCATCATGCACTAATTTAAGCACTTTATACTGTTTATACTATATTTAATCAGTTTATTTTCATCCATTATACTCGTTTTCTTTGACACGAATATTATTAACAAATACACGAATTTAAATCCGGATTGTCCCATGTTTGTGCTCTGCATGACCCGATATAAAGCCTCTGCCTACACCAAATATGTGTACAGTTCGTGTCATAGAGCTAATTTGTTTTTCAGACAAAATATACATCGCTGGTGGAGATAATTATCTCGGTTATCTAAGCTCGGTGGAAGTTTATGACCCGGACACCGACCAGTGGACGTTCGTTGCGCCAATGCTTTGTCGACGTACGTTTTTTTCTTGCGTCGCGTTCCACGGCTGTCTGTACGCCATAGGTGAGAACTCTGATGCTCCTCTATCCTTCCAGAACTTGCTATTGTGTTTTTTTAGAGTGACTGAGATTTTATGAATAGCATTTTCTCCTGTCACTACAGAGTTAATTTGTCAATATTTTTAACCCCGATTCGTGGTTTCGATTACATTCTCCAGAAAGACCACTAACTAACAACGCATAATCTCTTGTGGCATCTGAACTAACGTATGCCCCATTTGTCAGACAGTCCCAGTTTTAAAACAGATGTCAGGCGCAATTTCCTGATGCCACAAGTACGAAAGGAATATTGCAGCTATTCGATCCTCAATTTCGTTCCTGGTACTAATATTAACACTGCAAAAGGGAATCAGTTTTCTTCGTTGTATTTCATTCATTCGTTCCGTTTACGGAATTACAAATTTTAAGAGCATAAAGTCCTTTGGGTAAGACGGACGGAGTGTGAAGCATTGAAGATACGAGAAATACATAGACCATATCTAGAAAGTTATAATTGGTAATCTTGAAGGTAACATAACACATGTGATACATAGGCGTAGAAGGAAGGATAATATTAAAATGTTTTATAGAACTAGAGTATGTGGGAAGGGTTCAACTACCGACTTTTGTGAATAAGGTAATGACTCTTACGGTTCCATAAAGGCTAAATATTTCGTGGCCAGGTGACAGAGTAATAAATGTCAAGTTGGTTCTAACTGAATGGGGTTAGAATAAGTTTCGTTTGGCAGCTTTTTTTTTTATATACTGTGACCTATTACGGAATGTGTGTGTGTGGGCAGGAGGACGCAACAGGATATCATCCAAGCTCAGTACCGAAAAGTACGACCCTGCAGAAGACACGTGGACCGTGATCCCTGGCATGAACTTCCATTCATATAAACTCAACGCAGAAGTGATCGACGACACGATCTTCGTCATCGGTGGATATTATGACGAGCAACACTACCTCTCCCGCTTTGCATGTTTCAATGACAAGGGAAATCGATGGTTTGTTAGTTTCTTTGTTTGATTGTTCAGGGCTGTATAATCACAAACTGTTACTTTCGAAAAGCACTTGGAGGTGAACCAGTTCCGGTCGATATAACCGCGATCTTGCGGATGGTGTACCGTGTAGTGTCGTAGAAAATGACCGACGTTTCGGAGGTTCTTACAGCTTACTCAGGGCCTTGAATACAACGCGAAAAATGGGTGAGAGAAAGGGGGTAGAAAGAAAGCAGACAGGGCGATGTTGCGGTGAAGCTGAATCGTTAAAACAGAGGGCGAATGACTAGGTAATGCTAATCAGACGTAAGCTGTAACTGCGTTAATAAGAAGCTCTTTGACTAAGTTTCTTTGATCGGGGTACTCTCTTGGGCAGGAAGTTTCTGGCGTTCAGCTCATCAGCATCGCCAAAATCTTCGGCTTTCATCGAAGTGTTAGGCCAATTTCCGGTTTAACGACGCCTACCGTCTCATGTCTCCATTTCTGCTGGAATTTTTTTTGGAAATGGCTGTCTCCTGGAGTGTTTGACCATGCAGTCTCCTGCCATCTGTTGACGGAGTTGGTAAGGAGCTCCAAAAACATCCCAGAAGACAAATTTCTTCATACTTGTTTGTGAAAGAGCCAGAAGTCCCACAGAAATCCATTTGATTTTGGTTTTTGTCTGTTTTACGTCTAGCAGAACCTCTCCAGAACTACTTTTGGTGGAAGAATTTTTTTTTTTTTTTGAAAATGTTTTGCTAAAAGAGGGAAATATTGTCATGGGCGCATGTCTCAAATAAGACACGCGTATCTCTCCAAATAAAATTTATGATTAAATTTATTATTCTAACAGAAGGTAATGGCTTAATGAAGTATAGCAAACGTAGTTAGAGCAGAACACAAGTAATTTGACAGCGTCTTAAAATAGTGGTAACCTCTCCCTCCATTTTGATGTAATAAAATATATTACTTTATAATAGCGCGTTGGCCGGTGTTCTATGTGCATCTGAGTAGAAGAACGTTTACGTGGGAACTGTTCTGAAATATGGTGTGGGAATCGTGCATTGAATTCCGATTGGGAGAATTTTTGTTAAGGTTGTCTGGAAACAAAATACAAGCAACGACATTTCGGTGGAAGCCTGTGCCCTTAGCTTCAATCAGTTTTCCATTCTAACCAAAGACAGAGCTAATCCATCAGACATGGATATTTTTAGGTCAACACATTTTACGACTCACAAAGATATTTTTAAGAAAATGGATAATTTCTTTACATAAATGCACTGACATTCAAATTACGTTTCTGTTAAATTTATATTAAATAAATTATTTATGATAGAAGACGCATTCCTTCGTGAGTTACATCATCGCATGTTTTCTGTAACTGTGTCAGTGAAATGTGATAAAAATTGTCTTGAGTGTAGATAATACTGATGGTTGATGAAAGAGGGTTTGTTTTCACTTTTAATACTTCAAATCGCAGGTATCCGGTGACAGACATGAATGTTCGTAGATTCGAGATGTCGACTTGTGTCATCAAGGCCTTACCGAATGCAGGCGACTACGCCTACAAGCACTGAGACAAATTGATGGAGAATAAAACTTTTAATATTTCAAATTGCAGGTACCTGGATGTAGACATGAATGTTTATAGATCCCAGATGTCGACTTGTGTCATCGAGAACCTGCCGAACGCAAGCGATTACTCCTACAAACACAGAGACAAATTAATGGAGGAGAAACGTAAAAAAATGTTGGATTGTGAATGTAACCGTCCTCCCACACAAACTTGTCCTTCTACTGATGTAGCCACGAGTTCAAACCCAGTAGCTTGGCCGGCGCTGGATCGGTTAAAACATTTCGCACTTCGGTGCGAGGAATGGGTTAAAGGTGCAATTGGTATGGTTTAAATCAATCAATTTATTTACGAATTGAAAGACACTGATGCAAAAGACACAATTTGGTTACAAATTATATAAACAATTTTTTTTTTTTAATTTTTGAAAAATTATAGGGGCCGCCACTGCAAGTGACCCTATCATAAATACTTATTGTCAGGTTGGGTTAGGGTTAGATTAGGTTGTTCTTTGCCTGTTTAAAATAACTTTGTCGACGATTGCCGACGTGTCACATTACCGGGATGTTTTCTTAAGGCAACCGTCATTTCACATCCGGAAAAAATTAAGTTTTCGCCTCGTAAACAGCTTTTACGAATGCGAAAGCTTTGTGAATGTCATGTCGTCGCTAGACGGAAAGTCTGGAAGAAAGATGTATAAAGTGAAGTTTTCGCGGCGACCTTAATTGATAAAAGACTCTCGGGCAACAAGCCACATCTGGTGGGTGAATGAACCATTTCTTCCTCCAACGTTACGAGAGCCATCTCTGCTCTCATCCTCAGGGTAGCTGCGAAACGATAGTGATCCTATGTAGCGCGCTCGCCGATGGGAACTGGCAGAAAGATGTTCAAGCGACTGAGTGTCGCCATGATCCTATAATTCAATAAATTAATAAAGCCAAAATTAATAAAATCAATAAATTTGGATTAAATAAGGCATATCAAATATTATGCATCGTGTCCCATAATTATCTTTACAATTTTAACACTTAATAAAAATAATATGAGATATCACAACGTGTTTTTGTGCATATGAAAGAGTAAGTCAGGAATAATGCGATGGGCAGGGCATGTAGCGCGCATGGATGGGGCAAGAGGTATTGGTTGGGAAGCCTGAGGGGAAGAGACTGCTGGGGAGACCTAGACGTAGATGGGAGGATAATCTCAGGCGGGATCTATGGGAGATAGGAGTTGAAAGAATCTGGATTTTGTTGGCCCAGGTCAGGGTCCGATGGAGGGCTTTGGTTAATTCGGTGATGAACCTTCGGATTTCCTAAGCTATCTAGTTCGTCTGTTTTTTCGTTAGCAATATTATAGTAGAGACTAAAGTAATAGTTACAAATATAGTGACGTAACTAGAAATTTCAACACCGCTTATATTAAGAGTCCGCCATTAAACACGATTCTATAACAGTTGCTGTCGTCTCATCATCTCAACCCATCGTAAAGTTATTCTGCGTCTTGGTCTTCCCTGTAAATATTTTCAAAACTCTAACTAATGAAAGAAATACACAATGCAATGTTTCCCATTAAATTACCCGGTCATTAACGCAACCTTTATGTAATCGACAGAAAGATGAAGGAGGTACGAGTTTCAGATTTAAGCTGTTACCCCCCCTCTCCCCGCAACTAATAACACTGTCGCAGTAATCGGAAGTGTTAGTGTTACTTGCATCTGTCTTCACCTAAGTGAATAAGAATACACTGAAGCAGCCATTGTTTATCATAAAATATTTTTTTTTAAATTTCACGTACCCCCTAAGATGTCTTCGCGTACCCCAGGTTGAATACCACTGTGGTAGACGACTGCTGACGTTTCAGGCGATGACATGATGATGGAGTCAGCAGATATTTCTGAAACGTCGGTAAAACCCACAGAAATCAAAGCATAGTCTTATTAAATTCTATCCTGTTTATTGAAAGGGAGGAATATTTATCTTATTTCTTTCTGGCGTAATTTCGAGACTGTCTTTACCTCAAATATACAGCATCGAGCGATAGGATAATTTTTAACGAAAATGATAATTTGGTAAGGAAATGAAAGGAAGCGACATTTGCATGGAGGGGCTGAAGAAAACCACGAAATTCATCATTCACAATAGCCAGTCTCCGCAATGAAATTTTAACCCGGGATCTTCCACCACGAAGCAGGGCCGCTAACTATTCAACTGCGTTCAATTTCAGTGTTCAAGGGTGCGGGGAGATCATTCTTGTTACGGATGTGAAATTTCAGACAAATAACTTGTCCGACTTCGATGTGCAGAATCACTAGAATTCTGATGCTATTCGCACATCAAAGCAATCATTTCCCATTATCAGTGCAGTTTATTTATAACCCATTCACTACGGCTAGCACTTAGGCATTACAGCTGCACAATGTAAACCTCTGGCCTTCCGGGAGAATTATCCACCAATTTTCCTGCTTGACGTGGGGATCTTCCAGCCCCAAGGCACCCACGCAGACCTGCACATATAGAAGATGACACACGCACTCACCTTCGGTGGGATTCAAACCCAACATCGCAGTGTTCAACGGAGAAGACCCACGCCTCGGGCAACGTGATCTGTATAATTAATTAATCCTTCAAAGCCCAGAGCCAGCTACACGTGCTAGCTACTTAAACAACGTAACATGAACTTGGTGTAGCTTAGCACTTCAGAGTTGCAATAGACAATAAATCCACACAAGGTTCCTCTATGCTTTTGTCTTTGTTATTGTCCCTTCCACATGCCTCCAGAGATTAAGTTCCCCCTTTCTGCCCTGGGTTCCCCTAACACATTTTTCGATCTTGGTTATCAAGCTTTCACTACTTACCAACCTAACGTCTTCACTGTTATACTATCCTTATCAGAAGGGTGAGAAAGCATTATGAGCTTTTCCTTAAGATTAGTTATAACAACATGAACCCATTCAATGTTCTGAGGTCAGATAAACTCTTATCACGTTTTTGATAACAGAACTTGCCTTTCATATACTAGCTCAAAGACATCTCTAAGTGTAGTCTGTGATTCCACAAGGTAATGTTCATACATGGCAATGCTGACTAGAATTAACCCTTCAGAGAAATGAATTTCTAAGCCACTCAATTCAGCAAAAAGCATTTAAAGTAATCTATATGAAGGGATATACATGAAAGGTAATGTCCCTGTGCTTGAACACATCATAAATGCCCAGCAGCAGGTTATAGAAGTAAATGAATTTGCAGGTAAGTAAAGCTTATGGTAGACCAACATACAACTTAATATTCTTATTATAAATTATCAGGAAAAAAGATATAAAGCCAGAACCATACTGATTAAATAATTGTACTAGAAGTAACAAAAACTCATGTATCATAATAATAATTATTAACCCTGTAAATTTTACCCTTTCAGTGTACCCAATGCAACAAAAAGTAGTAAAATTAAATGCCCCTTTTTTACTGTACAAAAACATAAATAAAGAAATGAATGGCAGAGAACAGACACCTGATGATAGATACAGAATTCTAAGTAATTAAATTAAAACCTAATGACACAAAAAAGCATCTGTTAGAAATAAAATAAAATGGAGATCTTACTTTCCTGACACTGCATTTAAAAATTTCTTCTGACTTGTTTTCATTTCTGTCATTCCTTCCTTAACCCCTTTCTTCCTGCCTGTTTTTGTCATTCATCAAAACATCCACTCACCAATTTATTCAACCATTTCTTTCTGTCTGTCTATCAATCTTGCTTGTTTATACGGTTGCCTAACATTACTAACAGATCAGAGAAACATAATATATACATCTTTATTACATTCCATACATCCATACACCAGATGACAACAGAATGTAAAATAAGTCATTCATATTATTACGAAGGTTTCTCATAATGTAAGTAAAGAGTTTACGTAAAATAGTGATATGTTAAAAGTAAATCTGCACATTGCATACAGACATAAATCAACCTTAATAAACATCATGACTTATTTGTAAAATTATTAGAAATTCATCAACAGAGTGAGAGGAGTTTGTAATTAAGTACTGTTTTTTAATGCTAATTCAAATTGTGCCTTTTATTTATAAGACTTGTGAGACTAAATGGCAAACTGCTGCTCAGCATATTTAAATAAATTCATATGAAAATTCATGTATGTTTACAAATTTCTATTTGATAATTAAAATATTTCCTTAATTTTTTTAATATAAGGCTCTTTTTATGACAATTTGTGCAATTTTTCTGCTTTGTACAAATATCCTTTAAATCCTTTATACAGATTCTCCCCATTACTTCAAGAAAGTCATTACGGTTTGTTTCAAACACAGTTAAAAATATTTTTGAATATCTAATCGTGATGAAAAGCTTTAAATTATTTTGTTTTGAATTACAAATAAACCTTTCGAATAAAAAAAAAAAGCTTTTTGTTACAACAGGAATTAGTAATTGGTTTTATAATTGATTATTTAAATAATATTTTCTGTTAAGAAAACCTTTCCTGATAATAATTAAAATGTCTTCTAACTTTAAACTTCTCATTTGTATCACCTGGTCATTTAAACGACACTAAGTTTTAACCCAGAACATACCCAATATTTTTTAAATAATTTGTTTTACCTTTCAAGTCTACATACATGGTGGATATACCTCGAAGAACTAAAAACTATCTAGCTATCCAGAAGTTTGTTTTCCAGTTGTGATACTGAAGGTTTCAATATCCATGTTGTTTTAATGGTCAGTATACAGAATTTCTCTGTGTTGTTTTTACAGTTTTATATAATCAATGGCTTATGTACTGAGCTATGTACTTTGCCTTCTTCTGGGACAACATTTATGTATTTGTTGTGATTTGAAACAAACAAATAAGAGTCAACTGTGTGATACTCAAAAACAGTATAACACTTCATGCCATAAGCAGGTAAGTGTATTTTAATTTGTTGTACAACACATATTCTAAAGCATAAAATTATGCATGCTATAGAATATAGCATATGGTGTATTTAACTGTGTAATAAAATTGAATTTTAAGTGATTTGTAAAAAGAAATGGATTTATATTTTAACCTTTAAAGGCCCATTGTGTTTTTTAAAACAAAATGTCCAGCATTATTCTTAGCTGGCCGACTATAACCTTAAAGACATAGTGCACATCACATTATGTGGCATCCTGCAAGTAACTAGCAGCTTATTACCACAAGGTACCACATGTGAAAAGATGAAACTTTTGAGTGCAGCTATTCTCTAAATGGGCACAAGAATTACTATTGGTGTATGATGGATATCTTTCATGTCTAAAGGAACTATTCAAAACTTATTTGTTGATACTTTAACACAAGTATTTATTTGCATGGAATCCCTAAATAAAGCACACAGGAACATGTGTCTTTGGACCTGCACTGCAAAAATAATATTATAATCAGCCTACAAATAAATAAAAATTAGTAGTTCAAATGTGCTCTTTCTGATAAAGTTATTGAAATTCTTTACAACCTTGTGCTCAATGTTTATTTGAAACAGCTGAAAATAAGAAGGCAATTACAACCTACTAATCTTAGCTGTTAAGAAAGAAAGGACAGGGGCTTTCTTGACAAGAAAATTTATGAAGGTCATACAGTCTTCCTTCTAGATTATTCTGACATTGTTTTCATGGATTAGGAACCAACGAAATGATCACAATGCAACATGATGGAATGTACACTGTGTCTTATAGTCTACAGTAAGCCAATTAGTGATGTAAGTGCTATGTCTTAAAAGACACGATGGGCCATTTAAGGTTAAAGAACATCCTTGATAGTCTCTGGCTTGCAAAGTTTGTAATCTGCCCCATAACATTAGTGCTTATTTCATTCTGTGTGCATGACTATACACAAAATACTCCTACATATCTATGCATACATACACACATGCACGCAAGCACGTGCGCACACACACTCTCTCCCCCCTCTCCAATCTTAAATACAAAGGAAGATAACAAATATATAATATGCTACCAGAAATTAATTAACAATAATCCACTCAGTACAAAGAAGTTTTAAGTCCTCCTTTGCTTACGTCATGTATAGTTCACATGTGATCGAAAGCTGGTATCTGTGTAGCTGTTAGGGTTGTTAAAAGTTAGGCAAATGCTAGATAGTCAAAAGATTTGAGAAGCTTCTGATGATGGTGTGTTAGACTCAGGATTACAAATTCTTGAACTTTAGACATCATCTGGTATTTAAAAGAAAAAAACGTTTCAGAAACTGTTTCTGTTTCCCTCCTCAGGCGGTCCAGTGACTGTGGTTTGCTCTTTCTAATAATCCAAATGAGTAGATGCCCCTTTGCTTTTCACCTGGGGATGGAAACAGATATAGTTTTCTGAACGTTGTGTTCTATTGAATACCAGACAACGGACAAAATCCAAGAATTTAGTAATCCTGAGGATAGCAGAAGTTGTTTCAACCCTTTTTTCTGAACATAATATTATTTCTGAACACAGTCTTATGGCTTGAAGAGTTCAGATCAGTAGAAAATGGTTTAATTATTGTTTGTTGCTACAGAGTACCTTCGGTTTTTCTTTAGGTAGTAATGTCTGAATTTTAATTTCAGCTTCCACATAACTTCAGTCCTGAAGACTGTACTTTGAGTTTTGAAAAAAACACTCCACGTAAGTTACCATATTCTACCTACAAGTAATTAAACACCGTGGTATATCCACAGTATTTTCTCTGAGCAGTCAGCTATTCCTGAAATAACAAACATTGGCTATACAACTTTTATGAAGTTACTGACAAAAATCAACTCAGGATCATTTCCTTTAACAGCACTTTATTGATTTGTATTGAATATTGATGACCAATTTTAGGCATGTTAAGAGCTAAATGTTACAAAAATGTGCTCAATATTTTTTCCATGTAACAACTGAAAAACTGCTAAATGAATTTCATGAAATTTGGCACTGGGGAGTTTTACTGAGACTCATCAGTACTTCCCTGTTTTTTTTAAAAAATAGGACAAAAATCACAATCACATTATATGAAGACATGCCTGAATTTTTCAGTGTAGAAGTGATTGAGTGGGGAATCGGTGTATGGGGAATTCTCAGCCATACAGTCACTGACACAATCATGTGTGGAATCTTCATGATAACATCATCACCCAGACTGAATGGTCATTGACTATCATCACCTGCACGTGAGTTATGGGCCCGTTTCAAGCAAGACGAATGCCGGATTCACCCTTTAATAGACTACGAATAGACTTCGCCACATTACAGGCACTTGATCCTGTTCTTTGGGCACCCCATTCTGCCCTACCCCATCCTGCCCCAAGTATACTCTTTCAAATTAGGATTATTCCACCAAAAATGACATCATGAAAATAAATCAAAATATTGTGTTTAAGACTTTCATGAAAACACCTTGTAACATGCATCATTCAACAAAGTGGATATGAATAATGAATAGGTCTTACCTTCACTAGAAGTTGAGAAAAATTTATAAAATGTAGGAGTAAAATCCAGCATGGGTAATATTTCAGAAACTGTAACCACAACTTGACGCTGACTAACATGACATAACCTTGTGCTGTATGCTAATGATATTTCACCCGGTCCCGATAGATCGCAACACATTGCAGACGAATTAAAGTCGATACCCTGTTCTGGCCCGTAGCCCCGTTCTGCCTTGATCACCCCTATACAAATAACTGAGAACGTTCGAAAAGGTTCCTTGTCTTTATATACTATAAATTATTAGTCTAATTTATCTACTTTATGTAATGGGTTGATTTATTTGTAATATTTCACTAGTTTTTATGAACCATTATTTTATGTGAAACCTTTATAAATATTTGCACTTGTATATACGTATTGTTATGACTTATTCCACATCATATTTTCATCTGTCTTACTTAATGACCTATGGAATGTAATAAATATACACGTATGTATGAATGCTGGTTTGTCCAGTTCAGTCACAAAATAAAAAATAAAGAATAACAGTCCATAATTTCAGTTTCTTTATAATACATTACTAAATGATTACACAGTTCTTAAAGGTTTCATCAAATAGTATCTTTCATGAGTAAAATCAGCAACATCCTGTTTCTGAGAAAGCCACTTAATTTGATGGTCCACCAAGTGGAGCAGAGTAGAGTTTCTTAAGTCCTGAACCCACAAAACTTTTGACTGGCTTGGGATTCCTCTGGTCACTTATGCACACAGAAATGCTTGTAGATGTCTATGTAAAGTGTCTGTTATGTTCTATTTTTCATCTTTCCTAAAGTAATGCAATTTTAAGGTAAAAATATGAAAAAATGTTCAAATTATTTTTGTATGTAATATAACAACATTATTGAACAACCTCAAATGATTCAAACTAAATCGTAGCACCATACAGACCAACAAAAATGCATTTTCATAGCAGAGTGCAGTGATGCACAACTGGTGTTCTGTGGCACACAAGTGTGCCACGGAAGCCATCTGGGTGTGCCATGAAATTTTCACCTCATATTATAATTATAGCCATAATGAGATAAATAATTGTTTGTCTTGTTTTCTGTTCTGTCTCAGTTTTCATTTTCTTTATTATGGTTGGGAAGACAATATCTACTGAATGCAATTGGAAAGTAACACAACCAATTTTTAGCAAAATATATGTACCTCCCCTTTACTTTTATTGCTACTCTATATATTTTTCTGCAAAGAGAGGTGACAGTAAATGGAAACCACATAGCTATTAAATTGATTAGAGATTTTCATAATTAGATAATTATTGATATTTAGCTTTATTTTAAATCTAATATTTTCTCTGCTCACATTCAATGTTTGTAAATGATGATTATATTCCATAAAAATATTTCATATGCAGTGGGATCTTTGGGTCATGGGAAACTGATTTGGTTACTGTGAAATAATTACATGTAATCTACATTTAAAAATATGAATAATCACCTTTACATTTTAATGATTAAATGATATGTATGAATATATTTTAATTTATTTCAAATAATGAGTATATTTAAAGTAAATGACAATAATAAAGACTGATAATTATGAACATCAGACAGAACATTTTTTGGTTGGGGTCAATTTGTAAGAAGTTGTCATGGCCAGTCAATGCCATAAACCATCTACCCTTCCCCCTCACACAAAATACAAAATGGGGTTGGTGTGCCGCCATGACTGTTTGATAATATTTAATGTGCCATGAGTGTAGACAGGTTGTGCAACACTGGCATAGTGAATGAAGTGAAAGAGGAAGATTATTTACTGATGTGGACTAAAGTCAAATGTTGCACTATACAGTAATAGATGCTTGTTCAACTTCAACTGAATATCATAGCAATAAGGTTAACCAAAGTTGGAAATGTGTCTATAACATTTTAATAAAATTCCCATATATTACATTTCATGAAAACCATTTCAGCAATTCTCAAGATGTTACATGTGATGGATAAAGCTAATTAGTTCATTTTTTGAACCTTGAGTTGAAAATGCATGTAAAGAAGTAAATGCAAGTGAATACAGATTCTATTAAGATTTTATTTATCACGATTCAAATACTGCAGTTTCTTAGAAAGTCGTGAATATTGAGTGTGTAACTAGTACTCTAGTTCTCTGCTTTCATGGCTGCTGTTTGAAGTGACAGTTTGCATTTTGTCTACTGCCCAGCAGTTTACTATATTATCATGATGCCTTTAGACAGATAACGAGAATTATATGGGATGAAAATGAATCAATCAGGCATCTCATTTATTTGACAAAGATGTGTAAAATTCTATATAACAAAAAATTAATCTACATTAGTGTTGATGACAAAGCAGTTTTTTAAAATATGTTGTTTTTGAGAATTGAGGTATGTGAGTCCAAGTCATTCATCAAAGAATATTTTTCACATGGTAACCACAATAACAGTTACTGTTTTTAGGATGCCTGTCAGAGAAGATACCAGTAGAGGAAATAAAACAGAGCAACCAGACTGTGCAACTCAAGGCTTATCAATATAATAATATTTATGTTCTGCCTTCATTTAATGTCACAATGACAAATATTAAATGGAATGGTACAGTATGAAACACATCTACTGCCTTCATATTCTAGTTTCCTAGGACAGTCTATATTTTATTCACTTTCTTTATGTACAGTATGAATGCTAAGATGTTCCACATACTTACATTCACATAAATGAGATCCTAGTGATAGGTTTAAAGCCTCCTGTATTTCAGGAAGCATGGTTTATATTAATATCCTGTAGCATTATTAATCAAATATTAATATCCTGTAGCATTATTGATCAAATATTAATTTTTATTAGAATTACTTTATTGTTTTGATTATAGCACCATATTATATTTCTTTCAGCATTAAAAATAAAATTTACAATTGATAATGAAAGTGTTTGCATTGATATTTACATAACGAAGACCAAATATCTCCCACCTGAATGGTCTATATTTTATGACTGTTTATGGTACAGTCAATTGATTGAAGGCAAATATGTACTGTTGGAATACATAGCCACAGGGAGCGACTATATAGAAGCCAGAACATTCAGCTTCATAGCTCCAGCTACCAGCAAATTGGGTAAGAGAAACAAGACATCAGAATATGCCATATCATTATTGAGACAGAACTCTCTCTCTCTCCCAAATAGGAAAAACACAAACTATTGATATAAGCCAGGGTTTTAAAAGATTTGGATCAGAGGGCAAAATTATAAATTTACACAGAAGACTTTGTCTTGACCACATAAATAATTACATGTCAATTTATTTTAATGTCACTGCTAGTGTATGATTTTGTTGTTTTAAAAAGCTAAGCCCACACCCTTTCTCCAAGCTAAAAACTCACCTATGCCTTGAAGCTTTTGCGGCGACTGAATGTAATAAAATGCTCTTGACACAGCTTGTCGCCCACGATGATCTCATTTTGAAAGTCACTCCTTGTTAACTCTACAAATCTTCTTATTCTTTATGTTTACAGCTATCCTTCTTATCCTTAACCTCAATCTGAAATGTGAGGATGTGTCATGCCATTAGATAGGGTCCTAGGATCACGTCAAGTGACAGGCGCTTGTGTACGTGGTCATGGACCTTAGGGTTCTGTAGAGTTGTTTGCTCAGTGCATTATTTCCCTTTGCACTTAGAACATATTGGAAATTTTGTTAAACCAACATACAAGTCTATATAAAGGCCTGCATTCTTAAATAAGAATTAAGTACTGTTGTCATTATTGGTTCAGTCTCTGAGATAACTTCTAGATAAAATTATTCTGTCAGCTTTATTATATGTAAAATTTATCTTTACAGTCGAACTGTAAAAAGGTATACATTTTTACCTAAATAACTTCACCATCATCTCAGAAGAAATTGTTTTTAATTTGTTGACCTCTTGTATGTTATCCTTGTAAGAAACAGTACAACTAACTAACTGACTAACTTCAAGATCAAGAAATCCAGAGTCTCCAAGACAGAGAGAAACAAAACATAAATGCCAAATGTCAAAATTAAAGATCAACACCATGCTAATCTGCTTTTTGTATTCGAATTATCCATTACAAATATTTTAATAAAGTCTGTACACATTTACATTATCCAATATGTAAAACATTAGGCATTGTTACAGCAGAGAACTGGTATTCACACACAACTAATGCAACATAAAGGAATACAAACAGATACAGAGGCTCTGGCATATAGGCCTGACATAGTACTTAGAAATAAGAAATATAAAATTTGTATACTGATAGATGTAACAATACCATTAAACAGGAATATAATAAAGAAGGAGTCTGAAAATAAATTAAAATACAACAATTTAAGTATATAAATTCAGCGAATATGGAATGTGAAATGTTTTTATACCTGTAATTATTTGAGCCGCAGGAATTGTAGCTAAAGGACTTAAATAAAAATCTTGGAACATTACCAAGAATGCATTCTATAAATTCTCAAAAAAAGCAGCCACGTTAGGAATATCACACATTAAAAATAAAGTACTATAACCAGAAATTAAGCTTGAGGAGTGGGGTCACCAATGATTCAAGAGGAAAAGTGCCAGGAAGACCTGTGAGAAGGAAGAAATAAGAATAAGAATAATATAGATTTTACTGAAGTACTGAGGAAGTTTATGTAGCCATCAGTATTGTGTTTGTTTTAAATAAAAAGTAAATAAATAAGTACCATTCAATATATGTATAGAATAATGTTACAACAGTTGTCTTTTAAAATTTTCATCCAGTTCCTTGTCTGTTATTTCATATTGTATTGTACATTTCTTCAACAGATCCATGCAATAAATCTCCAAATTCTTCTGAAACACTGACATATCTGGACCTCACTTTTAGACCAGACCTAACACTTCACATTCAGAAGTTGCCTGCTCAATTACAAGTGCATGAGTATGAGGTGAAACAATGTTTCAGCACTGATTGCAGTATAGATCAGAGTTTTGAGGACTGTGTACATGTAGAAACTATTGAAGCAGGACCAGAAAATGTTGAAGAACTAACAGTGCCACTCAACATAGCTGAGAAGTATGGACATTTCTTCTACATTGTTTATGCAAACAGCAAGATATGTGAGAATGGAACTTGTAACATCTCTTGCACTGGAACACTAACAAGTATGTTAACATTTTAATGTATATCTGGAAATTGAGTTTAATTCTTGAGAAACTCCCATAAACATAAATAGTTATATATTTTTACAAATTACAGTGACTGTGATGGAAATGTCTACCTCAGATGGCAAAACTGTCAAGAAAAGGTGAAACATTCATATGTGTAGAGAAATAGGAATTCTGTTTCACAGAAATGATGTTTTAATTAACCAGCTAAATAAATATTGACTACTGGAAAATACCAAGTGACATAGAATTAGGAAATATTTTGAATTTACTTGAAACATTTATTTGACATATTTCAACTAGTCAGTATCGGTATAGATATTTCAGATCAAGACTTCAGGACTACGGTGATATGGCTGTCTGTGGGACTACTCGTTTTGTTGGCAATTGGATTCCTGCTTTGGAAGGTGTACATTGCTAAATTATTAGCAGCAGGTAGGATGTAACTGGACTTAAGTGATTAATTTCTAAATTTTAACAAGGTGGTAATGATTTGGCAACAAAATTATAGCACAAAAGACTTTATAAATGGCTTTAATTATTCTTAATGGAGAAAATAATTCATGAAATAAGACGAATGTGCATAGCCATCAAATTTTGAAACAAGCACTGAATTCATTATCTGTGTATAATGCATGCATTTCTATAAAAAATTACATTTCTATGTTTTTTGGCTAATAATGACATATTTTTGGTATATAATTCTGTGACTTTTTTTCCCCTCTTCTCCCTCAGCCCTGTGAACTTACTAATGGTCAACAGGGAGTGTGTAATCTTATTTTTCCTCTTACGCCCGCGTACTCTATTCACAGGGGCACGTTTAAAATTATAAGAACAGAAATGGTTTCTGTACAAATATGGCTTTCTATGTTTCCAGCTGGGGCTATATATAACCATACCATAGATTATCCCAAGTGTTGTTATGTTAAACACAGAAATAATGGAGCTGTGCATAAAGTTAAATTTGTGGGCAGTGACAGGGAACCTTAGAATGCTCAAAGAGTTCCATGAAATACTGAATGGATGTACATATGATGACATACAGCACTTCAGCATAGCATAAAATGTTATGGAAAGCAAGTATGAGTCTCACATTTGGTCCATTGTATCTGTAACTTTCTACTACCAGATACTGAAAATAAAAACCCACAACATAACCTTAGCCTGTATAGTACCAGGCTTTTCAATTCCTGCATCCCCTGCTGGCCCAACTGGAATCCCATAGTTATGTTGTGCTGCAGCCGCCATTGCGAAGACAAAGCATTGCCACTGTCCACATCATCCTCAGCCTATTCCAACTACAAATTTGAATATAGACAGCCCAATGATACCTAAGTTGGTGCCTTAGTAATGTTAGTGCCATTGTGTTTTGCAGCATAGCTGACCTGAATCCAATTGTACCAGCCAGTTCTATCTGGATTCACAGCGAAGTAAAAGTAGCAGGTGTTTCGTAAATGTTTTAATTCATACATGGAATGATAGTAAACCTTCAAGTATGAAATTGAGTACATACACTTCTTTCTCAGCCTCCACAAACGATCCGACTTCTGCTTTTCTCTGTAGGTGGGTGAGGGTGATGGGTGCATTATCAGCATAATAATAATAATAAAACAGGTTTTAAATATTTCCTTTCAACAGAAAAGGTGTCTGGTACTTTCTCTCATGCACCAGTAGTTATTCTTGTGCCTCCTTGTGTCTGCAAGCTAATCTGATTATCTCTTATTAGACAGAAAATAACTTATGTTCCAAACAATTGGCTCCCTATCTACAAGTTTCCCTCCTGAATCCTGACCTAGATATAGTCCTGAAATCTTTCTTTTTCTCAGAAATATTTTAAGGGCCCTACTATTTATTTATTGATTACAACTTAAGCTATGTAAAATAGGAAACTAATTTAAGACAACACCAATGATAAATATACAGTAAAATTACCATCATATCAGAGCAGCCACATTATTAGCATGCCAGTGACATGAACACTTACAGAATTTGTTGCTTCAGTAAATCCCAAAATAGTACAAGAAAAATATTTAAAAACTATTTAATTATGTAAAATTCCATATAGGTATGTCTTTGGAACTGCACTGTAAAAGTAATGTTATAATTAACCTACAAATAAATGCAAATTTGTATTGAAAATTTTCTGGAACATATAACAGTATGAGGAGCTATGACTGACTATAGACTGGACAACTGGGATTCATTCTCAGACAGAGCTAGAGGATTTTTGTTCTATCCTCTGCATCCAGACACGGCTCTGGGGGCCTAACCAGTCTCCTGTATAATGGGTACTGAGGTACTTTCCCGGGTGTAAAGCACAGCCGGGGCATGACACTGACCACTCACCCCCATTTAGTTCCGAGGTTAAGGATGAGTAGGAGCTATACAGCTCTCCACCTAAATGCCTACATGGTGTATAGTGGGACAACCTTACTTTTTGATTTTTATTTATCAGTGTGAATCAGTAGTTTAATTCTGCCCTTTCTGGTCAAATTATTGAAATATTTTACAGCAGTGTATTCAATGTTTATTTCCAAGTTACAGAGTATAGACTAAAGTTATAAATACAAATGTTAGCTGTTAGTTGTTAAGGGTGGCTGTGTAAAAATATTTTGTAGAAGTGAAAAGGTCCTATTAAAACATCATGAAGGTTATAAGGCCATCCTCCTGGAGTACACTTATATTATTTTCATTGATTAGAACCCAATACAACAGCCATATAGCCAAGACTGCATTGGGCTTTCAGGCCAGTTGGATGATAAATAAATTTATGTTTCAATGGACATGATTATACAGGCAGTATACCAAAAACTGTAATCTAACAAGCCACTTAAAAGAAGGCTGCAGTGTATTTTAAAAAGTATCTATTCAAATATCCAATGCTTACCAGGTAATGAGTACTTCAAATGTCTTATGACTTTGGTTATATATGTAGAATGTTTAGTAACAACTTAAACTGTAAATTTGAAAGACAAAGAGTATAAATTAACGAAGTTTTCATTTGCAGAAGTTCATAATATGAATCGCCGCACAGTTCTCCTGCTACATCATCCAGTACACAGTGTTCATACACATGTAGTGACCTACCTGGCAGAGTTTCTCGAACAGCATTGTAAAATAGATGTTCTACTTGATGTAAGGGACATTCATCAGACTGAACATAAGGTGAGAATAACTGTCTTAGATCTCAATGTAAATGTTGGACAACAGCAAAAAAATCCTGCAAGATAGGACAGAATTTCCAAAAGTGTGCAATTTTTGGAGGTGTTGGGAACTTTCATATTTGCATCTGAGAATACTGCAGAATTTTACAATTTTAGAAACATAATTTTCATCAAAAAATTGCATGGTACAAGAAGGTAAATTGTATTGCACATGAGCAAGCATTATGCAGAGCAGGATCCTCATTTAGCATTTTTTCACATATGTTACCCTTTCCTTTGTTAAGTTTCTATAGTTATAACACTATTATCACATTAATTATTCCAATTTAAGACTTTCCTTAATTCATTTTTATAATCCTTTTCCTGCTTGGGAAAGTTAAAGTGGAGATATCAACATATTTCAAAATTAATATCTGGCTTCCATGAATGTAACCAGTAGGCCTCATAAGAATGAATGCTAGTACTATGAGAGAACACAGTAGGTCTCTGAATTGTATTATTTATATAGAGGCTTAGTCTACATGGAGTAAAATATACATTTCTAACACTACAGCTGGACAGGAAAGATGCATGAGGTATGTCAGAGCCACTACAGTGTGACACGTTTAATACAGCGAGGGTTCTGAATTTCTTTTTACCAGTGGTGGACCATGGGATGATATTCATGCCTGACAAAAATCACATGGCAGCAGACATGTTAAAATTAAAATATGAAAACGAGACAAGTATAGTTTTTTTTAATAAAACAAATTTATATTATTGATATTTTCCTCCTAATCCAACACACAGAAGGTAATGAAATTTTGAACATATTTTAGGACATGTCCTATACTGTTTGAATGTCAATAATCATGTACCACATGTTCCTAAGTCGTGTTATGCCATACATCTAGCAAATCCACCTTGTTTCACTAATTTTCATGTTCTTCAGGCAAACTCTGCCTCTTCCTTTTGGGGTTGTGTCATCAGGGGAAAACTGCTGAAGACATGGGCCTTCCTCATTCCTGAGCTGATGTTCAATGAGCAGATATGTCAATTACTGATGTAGTCAGTGATAAAGATAAGGTTGATAAGGATCATGTTCTTTTGGGCTGTGACATTGTGTGATAGTGTATGTAGACATCAATGGTTTGGAGAAACACTCTATACATCTTCAGGGATCAATTAAGAGGTTTGGAAAGCAGCTACTTTATACAGGGTCAGTTTAACACTGTCTCCTGGAATTGAACATCACATAGTTGTTAACACACTTGCTTTGCATTTAGTTGATATTTGGCTTAAAATTCAGGTTCTTATTTAGTGTCACTAAGTCCCACAACAAAAATACAGAGATACTACCTTAGCCCTATTGCTGTGATACATGATTCTGCTACCTTGTTAGAAGCATTTTAAGTTGTATGAACATGTAATGTAACATTAAAACAATATATATACATACACAAGATGTTTCATATTAGGCCATAACCACATTTTTCCACACCACTTGATACACATCTTTGAACAGTGCAAAATTTTATATTTTATATTCTATAATAAATTAATTTTGAAAACTGTCATTAAAAAGAACAAAAATGAATGTATTTTGCATGATCTGTATGACTCAAAAGTGTAATTTTGGACTGGATTAAAAAAATTATTTAGAACTGAAATTTGGCAAGATTTTCTGTTGTCAAATCTTTTTACAGTTTCTTGACAGAGAGCATTTTGAACACACACACAGACACAGGGGAAGCAAACAGTCGAGCGAACAGATAATTAAAGGGGCGACTGGATAAATATTCTTACATCTTGTAATTTGCTTCATAGTGAAGGATTTGGGCTGGGTGTGTAAAATATATGTAACTTTAAAATGTGTTGAGCTTCATGATGTTACTGCTAACATTTATTCTCTCTTTATATAGGTATCTATCCTTCTGTGGGCCATTCTTAAGCCACCATTCATTGACTTTTTAGTAAAAGATCTACAAAAGAAGATTTTTGTCTCCTGGGTTGTTACACTATGTAGTATGGTTGATGTCCACCAACATTTCAGAGGTCATACTGCCTCTGTCAACAGGGCTGATGATGGAGGCAGTATGACCTCTGAAATGTTGGTTAACATTGACCAGACTACACAGCGCAACAATCCAGAAGACAGAAATCTTCATACTCACCGCTGTGAAAACCTCAAATCCTACATCTACAAAAAAGTTTCCCCAGTATAAACAAAACAAACAGCCAAGCAGGAAAAATTCAAATCTTGCTAGTAAAAAGTCAAAAACATAAGAGTATTGGATTTAGAATATAAATCTTAGAATCTAAAAGAAATTTGTTCTTCTTCCAGGATCCAGTACTCTGGTACAGTTCAAAAATGTCTTCAGTAAGCTTTGTTGCTATAATTTCTTCTCCACCATGCAGTGACGGACAAGATGCTATATTCAAGAATATTCATATACTTGGTTTGAATTTTATAAAGGAATTATTATTTTGTAAAACATCTAAAACAAAACTATTCAAC